GAGTTGTTAAGTCCATTTTGCACATCATAAAAAAAGCCATAGTAACGCAACGCTCATATGAAAGACAGTTTTACTCACATTTTCGCATATTAAAAGCACAGATACTTTAAGCATGAGCTTCCGTTTTTTTCGCGAGGCGTAAAATACACCACTACCTGCTCCCAAATATTGATGTCATTTTCACAATTTTTATCGTATTTTATACCTATTGTAGTTTTCAACTTCCCCAATCTTGGAAAGTTTAAGAAAAGGCTCTCAGTAAAAATGACGGATTTGATGCATTTTTAAATTCTGCCATTTTTGATGAAAACTGAGTCTTTTTTATTAAAAATTAACTGCTTTAAAACTTACAATTCTTACGGATGACTCCGAAGGCGCACCTACTTTGAACTCGAATTTCTGCCAAATCGATGACGAAACGCTCTTTCGCGGGACAAACTTAGCGGTAACAATCTGTGGACAGCGTGCACGTGAAACAGCAACCTGAATCAGTAAACGATGATTCCAGATGGATAATGTAGTAACACGTACTCGAGGAACACATGCGCTCAAATTTCCATTATAATCGAGCCGTGTACTACAAAGGCTCTGTAGAAATCAGGCTCAGGCAGAAATCTGACTATGCGAGTCTGATCTCACCAAGTAGTAGTCTCTTATGTTTAACAAAACGGAATCAGAATGCTCAAATACTTAATGTGCGGCATAGCGACAATAAGATTCAGAATAATTTGAAGGAAGTGAATGATTTCAGTTTTTCCTCGGTTAGTATGATGAAGGATCGTAGAGTTTCCCAGTGAAGTGTGGTGAACGTTTATCGACTGATGCCGGTACGGCATTTCAACATGATCTAGGAAAAAAATGTATACCACAGCTTGGCACGTGCTTCTACCAGAAGAATCGTTAAAGAACTGATCCCTTCGTGGGGAAAAATGAAAGGGTCTCCAGAAGCAAGCTGATCACCAGGCGATGAAGCATGAACTAAAGAAGCAGAAAAAGCTGTCAAATGCATAAACAGACGATCGCGCAACTAAAAACTGTCCCCAGTGGTCTAGGAAAGCATTAGCAAGAGAAAAGGAAAAGATACGCACCTGCTGCAAGTAGTGTATTGCGTCGCGTGGCGTTTCGTCCAGTGAAACAGTGCGCTCATCGAATTCACCAACATCGAAGACTGCCTCTTGCTCCATCTGATGCAAATAAGACGCACAACTTCCTGGCTAATGGGCACACCTGTCAATAGTGCACCGCTGTTAAACTGAACAAGAATGCTAAAAAAACTGAGCAAAGCTACTACATTTCCGATGGCCCTACTGGAGCAACGCCTCACAGTTAGCACCACAGAATCTTGCGGCTCAAAACACAGCGGTTGAAATGAGAGCAAGCATTCGGTACTAACAAGCGCGCAATGCATTCCAAATACCAAGAATACCACGGCCGCTCAGACTATCAGTGTGGGATTCCGCTGCTTTTCTAAAACTGACAAAAAGATTTCGAATATGCTTCATAAGACAATGTAACGTTTTGGTGTGCGTGGAAACGCTACTCGGCAGTTCGGCAACATTAGATTATTATTTACACATCTTTATCAGATCGATTTGTAAATTTGCTGAAATACAAAATATTCACCAAAAAACTTATGCAAACAAAAGAGTGCGCCAAAGTGGCAGGCGACGAATGCGGCACAGAAAAAGGGCACAGAGATAGTGGCCCCTCTGCTCGCGGCTGCCACTATTAGCGGGTGAAAAAAGTTAAGGATGCAAACCTCAATCAAAAGGACGTCAAATTTAGAGTTTTGAACCATACTGAAACGACAAAAACCAAACTGAAACGCACGGACATTAAAAGCATGCGCAATTAAAAGCAGGTCAAACCGGAATCTTCAAAATTCTAAATTATCA